CGCCTCCCCCGAGCCTGCGGGCGGCGCCGAGGCCGAGGAGCGCTCGCTGCAGCGCATGCTGCGCGCCATAGCCGAGGAGCGCGGCCGCCTCAGCCTGCGCCGTGAGGTCTGCGGCCTCGGTGAGTGGGGCGGGCCGGGGCCGCCGGCGCCGGGGCAGTGCGCGCCTCCGCGGGTCTCTGCGCGGGTCTCCGTCTCTGCGTGTGTCTCCGTCTCTGTGCGCGTCTCGGTCTCCACGTCTCGGTCTCTGCGTGCGTCTCCGTCTCTCTGTGCTTCCGTCTCTGCGTGCGTCTCCGTGTCCGTCTCTGTGTGCTTCCGTCTCTGCGTGTGTCTCTGTGCGTGTGTGTGTCTCTGTCTGTCTCTCTCCCTGCGTGTCCTGGCCTCCTCCGTGCGCCCCCAGATCCCCACGTATAGGTTTTTCCTGCGTCCCTGTGTGTTGGTCTCTGATTTCGGTCCCAAGAGCGACTCCGCACTCTCATGTTCCTGGGTCTCTTCCCCTTTCCCGGGTCTCTCGGTGTCTCCCTCTGTCTGTCCCTTTCGAGTATGTCTGTTCACCCTTCTTCCTCGCCGTGGTTGTGGCAGGTCCCTCCCTTCCCTGGGAAGCCCTCCCCGGGGCTTCAGTTCCACTGCAGGGAGTGTGGGCGTGGGATCTGGGGAGACCAGGAGACCAGCACGGGGGGGTGGGGGCAGGGCCCAGTGGGGTCCAGGCACACCTCCCTGCAAGTGTGTCGTGGCCACCATCCCCAGCTTCCTGAAGCCTTTGTCTCCTGCACCTCTCCGCACTGCCTCCCCTGCTCCCCATCAGCTCCAAGTGGGGACCTGTTGGGCCTTGGTCCCCTAAAGCCACCCACTTAGCACAGAGAGCAGGACCTGCTACCTCTCTGGATGTGACCCTGCTCAGTTGAGGCCCTAGGTCATATGTCTGCTGTGGGGTTGCGTGGGGGTGCCTGGTATTGTTTGGAAGAGCCTGGGACTGTTAGGTGTGGGTGGGGTCTCCCTGCCTGGCTGGGTGTGAGGTCATCGCTCCGGGTGGATCCTGCCCAGACTGAAGCTGAGAAGCCCCCACCCCTGTAGGGTGGGCTTTTCATTTTCTCCGTGGAAAGACCCCTCCCTTCTTCATGCGGAAAGGATTTCACTCCACATTGTCAGCCACCCCCACCCCACCCCCACCCCCAGTCGGAGCTGGGGATTTCTGGGGAGGGGCGGGGGTGGGTGACAGCGTTGTGAAGCAGAGAATGTCAGCTTTGGAGATTCTACCTGTCCCCTCGTCGTTCACCATCAGGGAGTCCCAGAGAGCCAACATAACCCCTCTGAGGTCACACAGCAGCGGGGTCTCCACTGCCCTAGGGTTCCGGGCCCCTCAGCAGGCCACGCCCTGGAAGCGAGTGAGAAGAGGAAATAACTTCCAGTCCTCCTTTTTGTAGGAGGCGGGCTTCCCTTAGCATGAGACCTATCCCCTCAGCCCAGCCTGTCCCAAGAACGACCTTTCCTGTAGGCAGGGGTGGGAGTTGCGGGCGGGGCATTGGGGGTGCCTACCAAGTAAGGATGGACCAGGAGATGGGTTTCTCAGGTGTCTTTTCTGAAAAGGTGTCACGTCTTCATTTTGCGCAGATATTGAAGGATCCTTGTTTGTTCATTGAGCAAACGTTCACTGAACACCTACTGTGTGCTGGGCCGTGCGCCACATGGCGCACCTGCCGCCTGGCACAGGCTGTCTGCGATGGGAGGGGTCTGCGGGACCATCTGCTGCAGGCCCCTCCGCCCTGCTTGCCTGGAAGCTCCACGAAGCCCCTCCCCACTTCGTGTCAGCACTCTCCTGCCTCTCCCACCGTCCTCGCCCACTGAGCACCTTGTCTCTCCCCTGTCAGGCCCTGTCCCAAGGAGCCCACAGGGCCATTCCTTAAGGACAGTAGTAATTAATTTTAGCACTTGGCGTTTACGGAGTGCTTACTATGTGCAAGGACATTGTGTGTGCTCAGTTTGATTCTGACTTTGCCAGATAGGAATATCCTCTCCATGCCACAGAGAATCCAGAGGTTCAGAGAGGGGAGAGACTTGCGTAGAGATGGTCAGCGAGGAAGCGGCATGGTGGGCATTGACCCTTGGCCAGTTTGACCCCAGAGCCTGCCCCCCCCCACAGATGCCTCCAGCTAGGCTCCCCGGAGCCTGCTATGCTGCCTCTGGGGAGGAGAAATGCCTCAGGTCTCGTGTCCTGGCACCCAGGCCTCCTTCCCACACAGGGTCTCCTGTCTTGCCCCCATCCTCCCATCCCGCCCGTCCCATATTCCCCCGAACTCAGTCTGCAGTGCTTGGATGCCCTATGTTTTAGGCCTGCTGTTTTCTCTTCCTGGGCAGCCACCCCTTCTCACATGCGCCACACATACCTACAGGTGTCCCTTTAAGCGTCCACTCCAGTGCTGCCACTTTCTGGGAACCCTTCCTCCACGTCCTGTCCTGCCGCCTGGGCTCTGCATACCGGGTGCATGTCTGTGGGTTGATCAGGCCTGTTGTGGCTTTGTGAGAGTCTGTGTGACTGTTTCCCCAGCAAGTGAGCCCCTCGAGGGCATGGCCCAGTAGAGCAGGTGCCCAGGAAACATTTAGCAGGCAAATGAGAGACTCTCTGGGCTTGTAAATTAAGGATGAACGTATAGAACGTGGAATCTTGGCCTCTTAGCAGGGCTCACTTTGACCATCTTTCATTTATCAGATGAGAGAGGGGAGGCTCAGAGAGGGCCAAGCTTAACAGTGACCTATTGCCAAAGTAGAGTTAAGAACTGGTGGTTGGCCTGTGCACCCAGACGGGAACCCAGGACTTGGACACGGCCCGCGGACCACTTCCCCCTTTCTTCCCTTTACAGCTGTGACAACCTGTTAGATGTAGGAATTTAAACCACCCAGGCCGTCGTTGCTGTGTCATTAAAGCTGTGGTCATTCAGAAGCATGCCATGTTCCCTGAGGTGGTTTCAAAGGTGTCAGGGAGCCTCTGGTGGCGATGCTCGACCCCAGACACACTGTTGTCACTTCTGAGTCACAGCCTCTAAGATGGGAGAGTGCGACTGGTGCCCCCACACAGGGATTGTCGCTCGGCTGTCATGATGAAAGGCACCTTGTGGATGCCAACATGATGGTTGCATCTTTCCTTCAGTAGCATCTGTGCTGGAAGCATCTTGTGAGTGCTGGGTGGGGGATCAGGCCTGACCCTGCCTTGCCGGAGGCCACAGCTGAGTAGGGGAGAGAAGCCAGGTGCACGGTGACAGCCGAAGCAAAGATCCTGCTGGAAGCAGCTGCTCCGAGCAGGACTGGGGGTGGTTTATATACAGGAAACTGCTTGGGATTCCAGAGAACAGATGAACCAAGCTGTCTGGCTGAGCGAGCTTCTGTGGGGCTCCGGGTTCTCTGAGCTGGGAAGAGTCAGGAGGTCCAATGCCCAGATGCTGGGCGATGCAGACATCTGGACCAAAAGTGAACATAGCCTGATCCTTCCTCTGGGGCTTGGGCTCTCTCATGGGCCTGGGACATCAGCTCCAGCACGCTGGGCAGGAAGGCTCCCTTTCAGCAGGGGCGGCGCGCCAGTGATGTTCGACAAGGCCCCGTGGACTTGACCTGGCCCCGGGACCTGGTGTCCACCAAGGACAGGCAGCGCTGGGAGGGGTGAGGCCCCCTCATGCTGCTTGTCTTCAGGCCCTGCCTAGGCCGTGCACTTTGTAGAACTGCTGTTTGCCTGGCCTCTGGCCCCCTTCTAGGTGGCTGAGGGCATTCTCTCTCTGTGGGGCCAAAGGAGAGTTTCATGTTCAAGGTTTCCTTTTATTCTTGAAACAGTCCTATAAGGTAGGTATTGTTGTACCCTTCTCTTTGTCCTGATGAGCAAAGGCAGGTTTAGAGGTGTAGTAACGTGTCCCTAGTCACGTGGCTGGGAAGGGGCTGAATCCGTCTAAACCTAAGCTCTTAGCAGAGGGGGACCCCGCCCACACCTGCCCTCGGGGTGCTGGCAGCCTGGTCATCATGGGTGTGTACTGCTCCCAGGCACAGGTGGGTTGAGAAAGGGCCCAAGTCGAAGGATGAGAGGTTCCCTCCGGAGGCACGGAGGAGGGAGTCCCCACGGCTGATGGGGGGATGGTGCGAGGTGTGGCCTTTGAGAGGGGCTGCAGTGGGCCAGGGCCTGCCTGTGCCGAGGAGGAGAGGCCAGCCGGCTGCAAAGGAAGTTCTGTGGGAGCTGGGGCTGCAGCAGTGGCTGAGCCCTTGGCCGGGCCTCGGGGAGTGTGGTGGCTGTTGACTTGTGGGGTGGCCTGCCTGGGACCCGGCATGCCCACTGTGCGCCAGGCGCCTGGCAGCCCTGACAGTCTGTTAGTTCCCCAATTTGCAGATGAGAAAAGCAGCTTCAGAGAGCAAACTGACTCACCCAAGGTCATGTTGCTGGGAGGTGGCAGGACTGGGGTCTGCATGGGACCTGTCAGAGGCCAAGAGCTGTCTTGCAGGGAGTTCACGGGATGAGCCAGAAGGCACTAAGGGGGACATTGCCTTCCGGTGAGCCTCTGCCCCAGCTAAACACCCACATATGCCAGACACCTGGTGCCAGTCTGAGAATCGGGAAAGGGACCGTACAGACTTGGCCCAGCCCGTCACCCTTCTGCCAGGGTCAGTGCGGCTGGACTTTGGTGAGGGGCGGGAGATTTTGGTGGGTGATGTGACTGGAAGGGAAGACTGGGGGCCTGTGACCCGCAAAGCGGAGATGGCAGAGTCTGTAGGGTTGTGGGACTTGTATGAGAAGTGACAGCTTCACGGCCGAGCGTGTGGAGCGGCTGAGACTTGGCGCAGGGTCAGACCGTATCCTTGGTGTTGCACTTGTCATTAGGAGGGACGTGAAGCACCCAGCCCCGTGCCCCGGCGTGAACTTGGGGTTGAACGTGTGCTCTGCGGGGCAGCCTGCTGTGCACTCCCTGCGGACAGTTTCCCGGGGTTCCCTGGGGTCCCGGGCCCTCCAGCCCAGCTAAGGCAGGCCAGGCTGGTCCTGGGCCCATGCTCTGGGGAGGAAGTGTGACGGTTTGGGGTGGTGGCAGTGCCTCTCTCGGTTCCTGGGCCTATTTTTAAGGCCTGTGGGTTCCGGCCTCGGGCTGTGTCTGGG